TAATTTGATACATCATGAATCATGAAAGATGTGTCATGAAAGACAAATTAATTTATCATGAAAGATGTATTATTTGAGTTCACAAAAGAATGGTTAATTGACAGGTAGGGTTTTAGTATTTATTTGGCATTACATGTAATTTTTATCACTTAATCTTCAGAATAACCCAAATACTACTATGACATTTTTAGATGAAGGGATTATATTGAGATTTCTAATGTTAGTTAGATTTTTTAGTATCTTATGGTAGTAAGTACCAGAATTATGATTTAAACCCATACATGTCTGCCTCACAAGTTCCCATATTCATAGCTGTACAAGAAGGCTTACTTAATTGTATAAAAATTTTATAAAAATACAATTTTTATAATTGTATACAAATATTTATAATTGCACTACACTTTCAGTAATACCTATATGATAAATACACACATAAAATATGTATTCACCTTTTGTGAAAATCACTTCCGAAGATATCATACACAATAATGAATTCAAAAGAAAATACACCCAAATTTTCTTTCAGGCATCCCATAATAGAGAATTAAAAGTTTATCATAGTGGAATTTGATCATCATATAAATGAAAACGTACAAAACACTTAATGGTTTTTATTTTGCCTTTAACTGTCCAGGTTCAGGATCACAAATATAATTACTTTTTCCCTTTCATATTATTTCTTTCTAATCTTGTTTTTACGATTAGTGTCTTTGTATATTACTGTGCTCTTTCTCCAGAGAATTATTAGTTCAGATTTTAGAGAGCCAGATACCTGAGCACCAGAGCTGTTAGCCGGTAGTACAGACCCTTTGTAAGAGTCTGTTATAAGTAACTCACTTGTCCTCATGTTACTCAAGCATATGATCTCAAAGGAGATTATAGATCATTGGACTAGTTTGTATGTAAAAGTAAATAAAATGTCCTGGGCTTGTAGGTAATGCCTGGGTTTTTGTATTTTTTCCTTCACATATATATTCAGATTTTATAAACCTAAGAAGTATTGACCACCTTAACGTAAAAATATTTATATTTATAAATCACATACTCTCTTCTTGAAACAATGATAATAAATTCATCTCTGTCTTACCTTCTGGCTGGATGTTAAAAGCATCTACACCATTCCATGCTATTAAGTAATTAGAAAAATTTCTAGCAATTTGAATTTCATTTATATTTTTGAGATGAGACCAGAAGATTGTCAATTTCAAATATGGTGACTCCTCTTTCCTAAAATGAAACATATGAAAGAATAGCCACAATTAGGTAATTTATCTGTACCTGAATATTCTTAACAAAATATCAAGGAAATAAAGCATTTTAAGCACAAAGATCATGATACATCTCTAGTTTCTTATAATTGACAATTGAGGGAGTCTTAGATCCTTTTGTAGGTGAATTTAATATTTAGTTTCAGAAACTTCTTTTTTCTCTAAGGTTATGAATAAGAAACTTAGAGTTATCTGGGGATAAAGTCCCTCACTTCTGTGCATTCCAAAAACCCAATTTTCTTAAAATTAAGGAAACCTTCCCTGATCTTACATTGCTTGGAATATTCACCAACTATGCCTGTTTTTGATAGTGTCATCATAAATTGATTCTGCAATTACGATGTGTATAAATAAATGATCTCAGAAAAATTTAAACTTTCCTAAAAATTTTTCTTTTGTTTTTTATTGGACAAATATTAGTAGGTCAACCCAATGGAATTTTAAATGAGTCATTTAACTTATTTAAATTCTTTTTATTTTTCATATTTTCTTTAATTCTGGACCACATAATTTTTTCTTTACACTAGAAAATTGTAGTATGAATAAATTTAAACTGTATTTTCTACTTACTGTCAATAATTCTCTGTGATTGTCATAGTCTCTGTAATGTAATTTTAAAAATATTTTAAGACTACTCCAACAAATGAACTATAATCTAGTCTGTGATTTTCATATTATTGGACAGTGTAATATTTTGAGAACTTGTTTGGAGGTTCTAGCAGGGGAGCGCAGTTAATGAGTAACTACCCTTGACCTAGGAATGGTCCTCCTCTCTCTGAGGTGGTCGCGCTCTTTGACCCAGCATGCAGCTTCAGGAAGGAGGCACATGGAGCCTTGAGGGAGGAAAGGGACACCCGCTTAACCAGCCAGATCAACCGAATCAACCCTGGCGATCAATGGGGTGACAAATATTGCAACCAGATCGCCCTCCCATCCAAGCAGGAAGTAATTTTTAAACCTGGCACGATGGTAAGGGCCTGGAAGCTGAGACAGAAAGATCACTGTGAGCTGAAGGCCAACCTGGGCTACATGGTAAGTTCAAGGCAAGCCTGAACTGCATAGTCAGAACCTGTCTCAAAAAAAGATATTGACTAATTTTTCCAAAAATGTTTTATTAAAGTCATGTCATATACATTTTCCTCTTATCCATTCTCCAAATATTTGTTGGACCTCTGTTATGGGATAGGTACTGTGATCATCTTTCAGATGAATTTGGACCTAATCGATAGAAAAATACAGCTTTGTAAATTTTAAAAGTAAATGTGAGGGGCACTATGTTAAAGGTCATAATATTTCTACCTTAATCTGTAATTTATACCATTTTAATCTCAAAATTATATCAGTTTTCCTATACCATCAAAATCAGGGCACACATGATTCATAGTAGCCACATATTCTATTTCAATATTTATTTAATATATTCTCAAATAATGAGTATTTATCTTGCTTTCTTTTTAATAGTATAAACAATGTCCCTAGAATGGTTAATTGTAACATTATAAAGGGAATGCTTCTATTTTACTTTAAAAATAATCTAACACATTCAATAATTAATTACAAAACTGGAGGTAAGATAATCAAATGCATACTCATACAAAGTCATGCAAAGGCTCTTATCAAATTCTAAATGATTGGATTTTAGCGGTGGAAATTATCTTAAAATAAATCAGTTCTGCCTCTAATGAGATGACAGACACACGTGCAGTGTAGTTAATGATTACCTTACTTGTGCCTAAAAAGTGCAGATGGTTAGGACACTTTATGTTACATAAGCTCTTTCTTGGACAATTCTAATTGTCAAAATGTACTTTACAGATATCTATTTAATCTATCTTTGGAAAACAAACATAAGGAGTATCTTCAAAATATACAGTGAATATTTAAATGTTAAAAAACACAGTAAGAAACACATTGCTAAACATTCCCCTTAGAGTACTTTCCTGTATTTCACACACGCCCCATCAATCTTGCTCCCTCTGAAGCAGTCTTGGTGTCCTCTTTCATGAGTGTCTGTTATGCCATCGTGGATGCCTTGATGTCCTAAACTGATTTAAAATGTCTGCCTTTCAGTGATCACTTTTACTTTGGGAAAGATCCAGAAGTTGTACAGTGCCAGATCCAATGAATAAAGTAGATGAAGAAATACTATAACGTTTTTATTTGACAGAAACTCCTATAAAAGTTCTGAATCCATTCAGAACATCAAGGTAGCCATGAAGAGATACTGGAGAGGACTTCCAGAACTGTGCCAGTAAGTGTCAAGAAGGAGGTGATACGTGTGTTGAAAGAGAGAAGTAATTTAGGGAGGCTTAACAGCAATGTATCATTTACTGTAATAAATTTTTAAATTATTCACTGTCTAGTTTGATCACTGGATAGTTTGATCCTTGTACATACTGCTTTCACAGGATAGCTTTCACAGGATGTCAGTATTTTGTAATCTTGTTTGCTCTAGTTTATAATTTTATGTTCCTTCAACTACTATATGTATTGTGTTAAGATAATTAGGGGTATGTAGTGTTGAAGATAATATCATAGGAATGTAAGTTTCTCTACATTAAATGAGGACTCTACGCTAAAGAAGGATCCTTTCTCTGCATTCTGTACTCGTGACTGATTTTGCCTGACTCTTCAGGGGCAAAGCATTGTCTGCCCCTTGGGCGACAGAATAGTGAAGCAATTAAGAGCATGGATTCTGGAGTCGAGACAAATCTGGACTCAGATTTGTCAAGTAAAACTTCTAGGACTTTAAAGATTTCACCTCACATTTCAAAGCCTTCTTTATGTATGAACTGAGGAACTTAGAGATTTTCATGATATCATTAGTCTGAGAATTAATGAGGTCTTGCAAATGAAGAATTTAACAGTTACTGATACATAGTAGGCACTTAGTAATAATACTTGCTGATCTAATTATATTGAGACTATAAATATGTCTTGCTTTTATAGAAAGACAATGGTTTTCGAGTTGAATATACATAAGTAAGGATCCCAGTTTTCTGGCTCACTGCTTAAAATCTAGTATGCTATTTAAGCTGTAAAATGGATATCATAACTGTTTTGTAAGAGTGTTATATGACGTAGTTTAAAAGGTGCATTTCATGATTCTTGTTATTTAACAGATACTCCTAAGAATAGTCAATATTTTTTATATTTGATGATAAATCAGTGAATCTGTGGATAGTTTGCCTATGTTGAGGGCCCAGATAATCACTTTTTGTTTGTTTGGGTAAATAAATCAGGCATGTAATAATTTTCCTTCAGTGTGCAGCTATAAATAGCAATAGAAAAGTATCAAAGTGAATCACTGCCACTAAAATATGTAATCTATTCCTTGATGGATGGGAAAAAATATCAATTGTTTCTCTTTGTTTTGTTTTCTTTTGTCTTTTTGAGGCAGTTCAGGCTGGTCTTGAACTCATTTTGTAGCCCAGGCTGGCCTCGAACTTGCAGCGATCCTCCTGCCTCAGCCTCCTGAGCGCTGGGATTACAGGCATGTGCCACCATGCCCAGCTCGATTGCTTCTATGAGACAAAATTACAAACTTTATTGGATTTGATTACATAAGGTCTTCATAAATTTTCTAAGACAATTCCATGTAAATTAAAAGAAGCTCACTTGTTTTGATATGTGTATTCAAATCAGTTTAGTTTAGCAGGCACATTTGTAGCCCCCAGGATGAGTAATGCCCAGCTCAGAAAATTTGAGTTCCTGCTTAATAAGACATTTCTGTCAAACTCATAGAAATAGAGAGTAGAATGGTGGTTGCTAGGAGCAGATGGTGGTAGGGAAAATGGGGAGATTTTGGTCAAAGAGTATACTGTTCAATTACATGATAAGTAAGTTCTGGATATCTAATATACAGTATGGATGGTAATATATATATTAATTAATTTCACCATGGTAATCATACACTGTTAACATATACTAAATTATGGTGTGTACCTTAAATATATTCAATTTCTATTTGAAAGTTAAATATTTAAAGAAATAAATGACATAAAATGGTGTGTTTTTAGCAGCAGCAGCTTCCTAACGAAACTCTCAACTTCTACTCCTGTTTGCTTCCACTGCATTCACAGTTAGTATGTGGAGCTTCTCAGATTAAACCATTACTCAGCTTACTAGTATGTTAAACCAGGTTGTTGTCCATGACTTATTTGTTAAAAATTTTTTTAAAAAAGATACCACTGCTTGTCAGGTCCAAGTCTCACATTCATGCTAAACTGGAGAATGACTATTACCTGATATGTTGGAAGGACTGTCTTCTGGACAGTGAAATTAGTCTCTAAATCTTAGAAAATGCTAAAATTTGACTACATATCCTCTGCTTTGATATGTAGCACAGGTTTATATAAAACCATGTGGAAAATATTTGGGAGAAGCAACACTCATACTTTCAAGGGTCAGGGCTGTCATTCCAAAAATATTTACCAATACTATGTCCTTGAGCCCCAGCTCACAAGAAGTGAGCTGTTCTAAGCCTGTACCATGCTCATGATTGTGTGTTTCATCAGGAGGTAGGGCTGGAGCATCCTGCTTCCCCCGGACTCTTCATGTAGTAGCGGAAGAGAGGACAGTCTGGTAGAAGTAGTGGAGGTGGCAGGTCAGTGTGGCCTAATTCCCTCACTTCAGATGCCAATTGTTCAATGCTACTAGATGTCAAGGGACAGATACTGATCAAGTTTCAGTTGTGCTCAATGCTAGATAATGTTTAAAATTATAAATTATTTGAGACCTTCAAATCTGAGTTCTTTAAAATTGTATCACAAATTTGAGTGATCTTGAGAAATCCCCTACAAAAGGTAAATCAGCATGCTCAGGCATGATACTCTTGCTGACATCTGTCTTACATTAAATATGAATATACTCTCAATGAGTTGTCTCATAGATATCTGATCAGATAGCCACTGGGCATCCATATCTTCAAATTTTGGTAATAGAGTCTCACCTTTCCAGATTCAAATGAAAAAGTTGTTCTCTAGTGGTGGTCAGCATTATTTGACAATGATTCGAAACCAACATGATGAATAGTCCTCTTACAAAGGTGTACTGACTAGTGTGATCATTCACTTACCATTCTTTGTTTACTGGCCATTTATTATATTACTGGTCCTGAACTCACTTACTTTGTGTCACATTTCAATGTCATTTTATATTATGTAAATTAAAGTTAGAAAAAGTCTTAACACTTACTGAATCCCATCCTATGTTGCTGTGGGATACTCCTTGTAGATTCCTGTCCTGTACTATTTTGTATTCATCTGAACATTTTATAAGAAAGAATTCCCCATTCCAAAAATTGAACTATTCTATTCCAAATAACTCTCATTCTTTTTTTTTAAGTGGTGGCAAAGTTTATTTAAGGAAGTAAAAGTGAAAAGTGGGAGAGAACCTGACTCTACAGAGCAAGCTTGGACGGAATACAGTCGTCACTTGCTATATTGCAGTTCATTTATTGTGGCATCCTGTAACGTGGGTTTTTTAAAAAAATATCTAATTCTAATATGTCTTAATATCTGACATATATATCTGATATATCTAATATATCTAATTTTGCTATCTGGTGGGATTTTGTGGTATATAGGTATTTACATAATATTTTTGATTTTAAGAACAGGTGGAATGAAGTA